GCCCCCTGCTGCCCTGAGCAGGGACTACACTCAGCTTTGTCCACCACAGCTCCAATGCCCTGAGAAGTTCCTTTCCCTCCCCTTCTCTCACTGATCTCCCTGACCCTTTTTGGTCTTCAATCAGCACCCCCAAATCCACACCCAGCCCACCCCTGACTGCCTGCGACTTTGAGTTCTCCTGCCTTGCCTGAAGCCCTGATATAGAAACCGCTTATCATGGAAGAATGAGGGAAGGTGGCCAAGGTATCTGGGATGAGATTTGAAGTGCCCTGCAGAGTCCATTCTAGGCCTCCAGCCTGTGTGAGGCCCAGACCATGGAAGGTGTCACCTGAGAATAGTAGTTTCAAATTTGTCATCAATGTAAAGTCTTAGATAAGGAGATAATTGATGAGTGAAGAGTAAGTCTATTAACTTCCTTTCCCTGGTCAGTTCAGAACCCAGCTACTGATGCAGCCTTCCAATTTTATCCCTAGTCATCCAAGGCTTTGCACAGGAGCGTGCTATAATTCTTAGCCTTTTTACATGTGATATAACCTCCAACCCGGGCATTACTTTTGATTAGTATTAGGGTATCTTCCAAAAAAGAAATACAATCAAAACAGTGTCTTCTAAATTCAAGGATGAGAGATTACTACAGAGAACTAGGGTGACTGTTTTGGGGGGACATAGAAGGAGTAATCTCGAGAAATGTTCTAAAGATCTATAAGATCTTCTAGTTCTTATAGAAGATAGGAGCTTATTAGGAAGAAGTTTTAAGATGAGAAAACTTGTATTTACCTACCTAAACAACAAATATGAAATAATTAACAATAGTTTTGACATAGTAGTTTAAACATGAATGAAAAACAAGTATTAAAATAAATTGAAAGGATATAATAATAAAAAACGTGGAATTTATTATTTTAACAAATATGCTTGAGGAGCATTCAATCATAGTTTGTTAGTCTTTGACTCTAGTATATTGAAAAAATTAAGCCCTTAATTTTAATGAGTTTATACTCATGTGAAACACATATAACTTCTAAATAATATATATCACTATGTATTATGGAGATAATAATCATGGAAAAAGTGGAATAATAGAGTTGTTACTTATGCAATTAAAAAAAGAAATGTTATATGGTTTACTCATCAGATCGTAAAAACAATTAAGTCTTTTTGATGACAATGTAAAGACACATAAAGACACATATACTGAAAAAAAGGATGATGGATTGTAAGACAGTCACCTAGCAAGACAGACTAGAAGCACACCAATAATTAATGAAAGCATTGTGTTTGAACTATAAAGGAAGGAATTCTAGAAAAAGAGGGCATAAGGAAAGATATGGAGAGACCTGGGGAACATTATGTTGAGCAAAGTGAGCCAGTAATAATAGGGTAATTGTGTTAGGCAGGGTTCTCTAGAGTAACAAAATCAGGACACTTATGAACATATATAAAGGTTTAAGCAATGAGAAGGAATATAACAGTTAATTATTCCACATAGCTCAGTTCAACTCACTCCCATGGAACAGTAAACATACTGGAAGTCCTTCAACTAACTTAGGCTGCCAGGTCAAGGGTCAAGGAAGCAGACAGGGAAATTGTGGTAGTTACATAATCTGTTCTAAATTTGAGACTTAGGAGTGAGGGTATGACATTTAGTCCATTAATCAGGTTGCAGCTTGATCTCATTTGGAGGCACTAAGGAGATAAATAGCTTGCTGCAGGAGGGATACTATACACTCCCTGCAAGACATTCTTGTTGACAAGCCACATGGATATAGGCTGATGGCAGCCAGAGCCTCAGAGCTGGAGGAGCCATGTGGAGATGCGCAATTGCTGAGATGCTTCTACCACCACTGGATCCACAAGGCTTTCTACCCACTGGACTGTGACCTTCCTGTATATTGTGTCATTGCATGGCTGTGTGAGTCTAAAGAGGATTTTACGGACTGGTATCAACACTTGGGGTATTATTGAACTTATGGACATGGTCTGGATGGGCTGGGATGGTGTCTCAATGTACAATTGTTCTTGTATATAAGCCCTTCCTTATATACATATGAGACTCCCTGGATTTGTTTCGCTAGTTGACCCAGACTAACACATTATGGTACTAGGAGTGGGGCACTAGAGAAACACATCAAGGATGGGGAGTGGATGCTTGTTTGACCTCTTCCTTATGGTAGTTTTTCTTCTTTTAGTAGCCAGAGGTCAGATATGGCAATACAGTTTACTCAGTTGTTTTCTGGAAAAAATGTGGAAAGTTAAAATTTGATTATTTTGCTTGGTTTTTGTCTTTGGTTATTCCTCTTTGAAATGGTGAAAATGAATGTGATTAAAATATATTTTGAGCTGAGGGGACAAAATCACCCACTGATTTTCTCAGAGCTGCTTTGTTAAAATGGTCGACAGGTCAAAATGGCTGACAGAAAGCCTGGCTCTGGCTTGATGCTGTCACAGTCCTAATCCCATATTTTGTTTCAATAGAATAGTTTATATAATGATTAAGATAAGCTAAATAAGGATTGAATTTGACTGTTTTAAGAATTAAGTTTGAGTGTCTGTTTCTACTTTGTTTATACTGATTTCTTCTCTTATTGTTGTTCATATAAAGATTAATAGAAATGATTATTGGATAGTATGAAAGTAGAGAGTTTGTAAGCCTTGCCTTTGCCACTAAAATTTGAATCTCTAAATGGGTTAGGACACGCCTGCACAGAAGGCTCTGAAAAGATAAGCCCCACCCAGTGCTTTGGAGTACTCAGGACATTTACATCCCAAGAGCCTTTCCTAGGCTGGTGTTGACAGATTGAAGAAAAAGGAACTCTTTAGATTTTTCAATCTTGAGCTTGTAGTTTTTGTCAAAAGCTGGAAAAAATGTAGAGCCCTGAAGAAACTCTTCACTCTAGGACTGAACTGTTAAAGGAAGCCCAAGGGCAAGCTAAAATGCTTGCTAGGTAACCATCTGGATCCACTGATTGAGTGGAAGTGAGAGAAATGCAGCAATAAAGAGACAGGTTGAGTCTGGCCACTGACACTCATGCATCTGGTTCACAGGAATTAGAGGAGAAGATGAATGCTGGTTGACTGATCTGAGGTTCATGACCTAGCACAAGGGGACTAGGGTTCTTGAGAATTTGTGACAGTGTGCATGGTCTAAAGGCAAGGTAGAAAATTGGGACACTAGTAAGACTAAGTGAGGCAGCCCACAGTGAATTGACCAGAAGCCGACCACATCAAGAGAAGATATTTGAGCCTGGGAACTGGTGTATATTGTTGCTGATTTTATGGATGGCCTTTCCTGGTTTGACTTTGCTTATGGATGCAGGTTCCAACTGGAATGAAGCTTTTTCACATCAAATAATATGATTGTCTCCTTAGAGCACTAGGTTGATGTAAGTGGGCAGTATCAAAATTGGATACCCAAAATGGAGCATGAAGGCAGTAAGAGGCTGGCTTACGAACTTTCATAGGTGCTGGAATATATTCATAGGATTATAGGATTAAGGTGTTACTTAACTGCAATTGTTAGGCATAGACTATTGTTGCTTTGTCACTTATAGAATATTATGTTTAAGTGAGGATGGCACATATTGAATGTATGCTTTTTAGTTTGATCTTGTTAGGTACAGATATGATCTTATTGTTAAAAATTTGTAAAAGTGTCAAGTTGACAAGGGTTGGTCTTTGGTAGTTAGATAATCTGGTGTCAACTTGTGGCAGGGTAGAGTCTAGCCTGTCAATCAGGTCACATCTTGATGACCTCATTTGGACATGCCGCAGAGATAAATAGCTCACTGGAGGCCAGATAGACACAGACTCTCTACTTCGTCTTCCTCCAGACAAGCCACATGGAACTAGGCTGATAAAAGTCAGAGCCTTGGAACTGGAGGAGCCATGTGGGGACCCATGCTAGCGTTGATATGTTTACACCATCACTGGGATCCACAAAACCTTCCACCCACTGGCCTGTGATATTCCTGCTTTCAGTGTCCTTACATGTGTTTCATGAATCAGAAGAGGAATTTATATATTGGTATTGGACCTAAGGGCTGATACTGGACTTATGGACTTGATCTGGACTGGTTTGAGATACTTTCTCTATGTTCATTGCTTGGGTATATAAAGCTCATTCTTTTAGACATATGTGTGTCTATGAATTTCTCTAGTCAACCCTAGCACACTCCAGTAAAAGAATACATGAAACATTGCAATATACAAAACAGTTTATTATTAATGTAAAAATATATTTTGCACATCACACCTATGTTTTACTTGTAACCATTAGAATTACACATAGCCAATCATCTTTGACACCTAGAATCATTTTTCTACTACTTAGTGTGATTTTTATTTATCTCCAAGTATTTCCATATTATCAATACACTTAAATTCATATTTAAAATGTATTAGTGGCCCAATTGTTACTTGCACATCATTGAACATTGTACATCATATGTTTCTGGACATACCACTAATTTTAGTAAAAATAAAAACTGACATTGTTAGGTATAAGAAAACTATTTCCTAGAGATTTATAAAATTAAATAAAACCTAATACTACATATTTAAAATGGTCTACATATCAGCACTTCTATGCCAGAAAAACATGGAGGTGTTTTCTTTTAAAAATTAATCTATCAATCTCTTATTAAATCTTTTAAAATCTTTTAAAATTTAAAATCTATTAAAATATTATTAAACTCTTTTTAGAATAAACAAAATCACAGAATTAAACTGAAAGAATGAAGTTGTTTCAGCAACACAAAAGAGAAAATTGTGAGTACAGTTTAAACCAGAAGGATAAAAAGGATAAAAAGCCTAGAGTGAACACACACTGACTATTGGGCAACATTAAACAATATCTGAAAGTAAAAATAAAGTAGAAATGCATGTTGGAAAAGGGTGATAAATATGGCCTGACATTTCCAATAAGTTTTGTCTATTGAAAGCTATTTAAACAAGCAGATAAATAGACATTAAAAAAAAAACTTTTGTGAAAGCCCAAAATGTTATCTTAAGATAATAAAGATACATTTTTTAACTAGATCCTTTAGGGCTTGTTTCACTTGTTTGTTTCTTAAGGTGTATATAAAAGGATTTAAGACAGGCGCAACTGAGGTGGTGAGCACCGCTATCCCCTTGTTTAGTGTTACCCTTTCCTCTGCAGAAGGTTTAATGTACATAAAAATGCAGCTGCCATAAGAGATGGAGACCACAATCATGTGGGAGGAACAAGTAGAAAAAGCCTTCTTTCTCTGCTGGGCTGAAGGGATTCTCAGAATTGTTCTCATGATGTATGCATAGGAGAGCACCACCAGTGCCAATGTAATCAGGAGGGTGACAACGGCTAAAATAAAACTTAACAATTCGATGACTCTTGTGTTGGTGCAAGAGAGCTGTAGGACAGGAGAATAGTCACAGAAAAAGTGGTCAATGACATTGGCATCACAGAATTCCAACTCCAAGCCCATGAGAAGTCCAGGAGAGATTGTTAACAACCCAGCCAACCAAGCGGTAACAACCAACTGTGTACAGACTCTGTTGCTCATAATGGTCGTATAGTGAAGGGGTTTGCAGATGGCTACATAACGGTCATAGGACATAGCAGCCAAGAGGAAAAATTCCGAGGCACCCAAGAAGATAGCAAAAAACAATTGTGTCACACAAGCATCATAGGAAATTCTTTTATCCATAGTCATTATGCTGAATAAGTATCTAGGGATGCAGATAGATGTCAATGAGATTTCTAAGACCGAGAAATTCCTAAGGAAGAAATACATGGGTGTTTTGAGGTGGGAATCCAGAAGAGTGAGCAGGATAATAGTCAGGTTTCCAGTGATGCTCAATAAATATGTTAGCAGTAGAAAAAGGAAAATTGCAGTTTGCCACTTGGGATCATCTGTTAGTCCCACGAGAATAAATGTTGTCACCATTGAATAGTTCTTCATTGTTAAAGTCCTTCTGAATCGCACCATATCTGGAGAAGGCGGAGAAATCAGCAATTCTTTTTAAAATGGCACAGTTGTATATAGCTTTGAAAACAATATGAAGAACCAAGTAACTCAATGGTGATGTAGACGCCTCTCCCCCACTATCTGAAAGTAGAATATTCCTAAGAAATTTTCCACAAACAGAAGGGGCAAAAATCAAAGAAGCAATTACCATTAAGTAATGTATCAGAGAAACATTTTTGAGCTTTCCTATACCTAAATAATCCCAAATAACACATGAAATCCTAAACCTAATCCTCCAAATCATCCCAAAAAACACATAAAACCTACAAAGCATGAATTTATAGTGAAATCAAGGATTATATGGTAAATGTACTACCTATATAAAGTAGAATTAATGTGTGTACAGTGTAAGTTTTCTTATTAGAATTGAGGACACGCTAAAACATCCGAAGCCTGGGAAGTTGTGGTAGTGATGGTAGCCACAATAGCCTAGGTGACAATGACACAAAGGGTGAAGTTAAAGGGCAGAGTTCAAGTCCCACAGAATAGCAGGGTTTATAAGGACTTTGCCAGCCCTGGGATGAAAGAGCACTGTTGGCACTGTCAGATAAGCAATGGAGTGCAAATTCCAAATTCCACTGTCCACGTCTCATTCCTTCCATGGGAGAAAAATGAGACATTCTGTCGCTGTCCACAGGTAAAAAGTCAAGGATGTGATCATCGGATGCCCAGGACGTTTATATGTCACCAGGCATTTGATTGGATGTGCCTATCCCATTCAAAAAGGACAGAGGCGTTTTGAAAGAAGATTGGATGAACTGTTTGGTAAATCCTGTCATGACATCACTGTCTCTGGTAGGGGTGCAAGCTACTTCCCTAAGGGCTCACTGCAAACCCAACACCGACAGTCATTTTTCTCTTTATTCCTAAACCTGAATATCCTCTTCAGATTTTGGTTAGCAGAACCAAGTACTAATGTATAACTTTTTAAAAGGTGAAGTGACATAAAGAAAAGTTTATTTTTTTTAAAGCAGCATAATTTTATACCCGTTGCTCTTGCGATAGTGATCATTTCACCAAGCAAGCAGAACCTTATGTTTGATCCTTATTCCATATTCGACTCTGTATACTAATTTTCTAAATTATCTCTTTATATCATATTTACTTCGAAGTAAGCCCACAAAGGCACTGTGGGTTAAGTGTTGGGCTACAAGTCACAAGGTCAGCAGCTCAAACCCACCAGGCACTCCACAGGAGAAAGATGAGGCGATGTCCGTCCATAAAGCATTATAGTCATGGAAAAACTATTCTATACAGTGTGATCGCTATGAGTCAGAATTGACTAATACTTGACTCACATTCATTGAAAATCATAATAATTACATTGGTAAGGTTTGGTTTCAGGTTACTAGAAAGTTGTTATAAACTTCTGTCAAATTTCTCTGGGTTAAAGTTCTATTGAAGATCCTGAGATCTTGAGCAGTAACTCTTGGAATATTACTGAATCCACAAGATGGGATCTCTATTTTAGATTACCTTGATTATATCTATTATTAAAGTTGTCCTCAACTCAGTCTCTTTACATAAGATGTACCTTTGACCCACACTTCTGTATTTTAAACAGAAAACCAGGACTGACATTGTGAGGTTATTTGTTTGAAAATAATTATGATCTGATTATCTATTTCTGGTTAATCATTGGAGTTCTTGGTACTTCCAATTAGAACTATCACTGGAATGAAAACATTATGAATTGTAGTACAATGTAACTCTCCAATTTAGTAAATAAATATAAATTTTTAATTTACAAGAAACGTGGAATTACATTACTCAATTATAAAGTCAATTTAAGTACCATAGATAGCTTAACAATTTGATATAAATTTCAACTTTATTTTCATCAATGCCAGAAATTCAGTGTTAAATACAACTTTTAATAAATATAAATAAGCACACATCAGTCAAATTTATGATGAATGCATTGAAAATCATTTATCATGGTGCTGTTCTAATAAATGAATGTAGACACTTTTCAGATATGTATATTGAAATTTTAAGCACAAGTTACACAAATAATCTTTATTTCTAATTAAAATTTCAGGTGCTTTAATCATATGGTTACATATTTAGAATAGAATGGGTCTTTGTAAACTGATTTTGTGTATAAAACAACAAAATAGTGATAATACTTACTTTCCTTGGATTTCTCAAGGGTTCAGTTTGCTGATTTGTTGTGAATTTTTTCTTTTGTACCATTACTCTAATATGTAATACAAGTGATGGTTGCCATAATATCTATTTCCTTGTAAACTTCAGGAGATCTGGTAGTGGTGGATTAATTGTTGGACTGCTAACTGAAGGTCAGTGGTTGGAAACCTAGTAGTTGTTCGATGGGAAAAGATGAGAAGGTAGTTGGCTTCTGTAGCTTCTGATAGCCTAGGGAGCAGTTGTATGGTGTCTTTTATGATCCCTATGAGTCAGAGTCTCCTTGATTGCAGTGGGTTATGGAGAACTAAATTATTTTCTTTGATACCTCATTCACAGTGGAGATCATCATCACATTAAACTTCAGGAATACTTAAAGATCGAATAAATATAAGTGTATCTCCTTCTCTTACTATTCTGTCAAGATAGTATTGACAGCCTTGTCCAACATGTTTTCCCTCATAAAACCTGGAAATTTTGGTTATTTATCCAGAATCAAAATAGTAGATGGAAAATAAGATTTCTAGTCATTCACTACACTGTGATTCTCTCTTGAAGAAAACTGGTTTTGTCTCAGTCTCACCGTAGATTTCTCTTTGCTCTTTATTAACAAAGGAGATATTTACTCAGAGCTGTTACAGGACTCTGGAGATTCTGTGAGATGATAGTAATTGATTAACCTCATCATTAACTACAAAAACAGCAAAAAATGTTAATTAAAAGTCAAGTTATGGGATCTGCTGGGAAGCCTGAGATGTGAATATTAAACGAACCCTATTTTTGCAGTTGTGATGGAAAATAAAGGTTGGGGTATAATTAATGTTGTATTTTTCTAATTATGTGAGATGACATTTCCCCAAAGAAGAAAAATACGGAGCTCTTTAATTCTCCTTTTTAACAGGAGACTCAAGACAGGAATGTTGGTGTGTGTCTAATGACAACATTGTTCATTAAATATGTTCCAGTTGGATCATTATATGTGTTCTGTGAGTTCAACATCTAGTATAAATTATTTCTAAGTAATATGACAGCAGTAAATAATGGTGCAACTGACTTCTTTAAAAGTACTTAATTATAAAATTGAGCCCTTATGGTGCTTCAATGCATCAAATTCCCTGCTGGGGGATGATGATGCTATATTCTCTTGTAAAGATTTAAAGTCACAGAAACCCTATTTCGATCATTATGAATCACAAAGACTCAGTGGCAGTATATATATATCACCATCGCCATTGCCATATCTCTCTATATGAGGGGGAGCTTTCAGAGTACATATTTTTCCTACTAGGTGAGCATCAAGCAACTCGCTCTGAGTTAGTGCATCCAGTGCTGTCACCTGGGAAGGTTCTCTCTTGTCACAGTGAATATCTTTGTTAAAGCAGTTTCCCTTGAACCGTTGTTATTGTGATCGCTGATTTAAGAGAACAGTGTGTGACTGTGAAATTTTGTTTCCTGCTTAGGAAAAATGCCGTAGAAACTGTTGTGATGTCAAACACGGCTTACAAGGAGAGCACTATGTGAGAATCTCAAGTGTATGAGAGGTTTTCTTGTTTCAAAAACTGTGAAATGTCGATTGATGACAAACATTCTGACGTCTGTCAACTTCCTGAACAGATGAAAATGGCAACTTGTAGCCCATTGGAGTGCATTCCACTAGGTTAGACTGTTGATCAAACTTTCTATTTAGAGATATTGAAAAGATTGCATCACATTGTTTGGCAAAAAATGGCCTGATTTGTGGCAGATGGAGCACTGGTTTTTGCCAGCACAACAATGCACCTGCTCACGCAGCCTTCTCAGTGCACCAGTTTTGGGCAAAAACAGCATGCTTTTCTTGCCGCACGCACCTTACCCACCTGACTCACTCTGTGCAACTTCTTTTTGTTTCCAAGAATGATGAGGAACATGAAAGGACAGAAGTTTGACAATGTAGAAGAGGTGAAGAAATCAGTGAGGGAGGTGCTGTCAGCAATCCAAACAAATGAGTTTGACAAACGTTTCCAAGAATGGAATTGCAGATTTGACAAATGTACTAAGTGTAATGGAGAGTACTTTGTAGGTGATAAGGTTGTTTTGTAAACAAACTTAGATACATAGCTTTAAAATGTTTTCCAGTTTTGTTTTGGTTAACCTCATTTATATCCATATATGGATTATTTTAGGGAAGTCATTGTAATATTGAAACTGTGTAAAATAGAAAAATATAATTTGAAAAATGTTTCATTTCTATATATTAAAATATAATTCTCACAGTGGTGTTTGAAAACAGCAAATAAGACATACTTGTTAGAGTTTGGTAAGGGAAACAGAATTATTATGATTGATATAAAATAAATTAAAATAATAATAAAAATATATATTAAGACATGCAGAATTGTTGAACTGATGAAATATGATATCAAAGAACACAACCTCTGCTTCTGGAGGTGTTTTTGAAATGACTGTAGGATGCATAATAGAAGTAAAGCAAATATAAAAATAAACAAATATCAGATTAAATTCTTTTTGAAAGAAGGTCTCCAGATTTTTTTCTCTTTGTCTGCTAGGAAGGTTTGAATGATCCACATTTTGGTTATCAGCAGAGTCAAGTCATTTGTATTACTCAGGAAACATAAGCTTAATTAGAATATTAGAAAAGTCATTTTAAGTGCACATCTTTAAAAAATAGGAATTCTATTAGAGTCTGTTGGAGTCTTGCATTTACATTACACATGCGCACGTGCACACGCGCGCTTGCACACACACACACACACACACACACACACACACCACAAGCAAAACACATAAAGTTAAGGAACAGTCGCCTA